CTAAACTTCGAGATTTCCAACGACTCAAAAACGTTTAGGTCGTGAAGCTTGAGCCTTGAGGCCCAATTATTTGCTCGTCCCGTCAAATCTGACAGGGCGAGGGTGACTTGCATCTCGTCACCATCGATGTGACGGGCCCTGATGGCATCGTCTAACTCGACGAACCATCTCAAAAGGGAATCTTCATCGATTCCCTAATACCTTGAGATATCAATCTTCAAGGTTTCGGGTCGACGCATGTGCGTCGGCCCGCCCATCGACTGATGAGAGCCTTGCTTGTAACGGGGCACCCTGAAGCTTGTACTGGTGACAGTACAAGCTACTTTTTCTGATGACAGAATAAGGCGGTGCCTCGTAACTTCACGTACACTCGTACGTGCAGAGGAAGACGGTAAGAAGAAGCGAGTACTTGGTTAAAGTAAAAAGTAGAACTGTATTTATAATAGTTAATGTCTGCAATAAATCACTATTTATCTTCATCTAACTATGTCTAAATACAAATGTGTAAATCAACTATCTGCTCACCACTCATTGCGTCCGTCTGTCGTGGCGCGTCTTCGTTGGTTGATATAATGGCCTATATCAACCAATTAGGAACTACTCGTAAGTGCTACAGAAAATTTGTCCTTATGACAATATTCTGAGAATATAACTCTTATAGTTATATTCTATTAACAATTTCTTATAAATTGTTATGTAACGGTTCACCCCGTTACATCACCCCCCCTTAATCATCAGTCACTTTAGTGACTGATTGACTAAATGGATACTCGTCCCAAATCATTTGGGACAGGGTTTGCACTTGTTGGTCCGAGTCCACTTCCCAACATTTCATCGCATGGTTAACAAGCCCATGCGATGCGCGAGCAAGGCCGCCGAGAGCGCGTCCGCACGTCTCTGTGCGGACGCCGAAGCAGAAACTACAGCAACTGATGTCTCATCGGTTGCTGAAGCGACCCAGCCTGTGTCACTTGGTGATGCAGGCGCTGGTCATGAAGACACTCATGTCTTCACAGAGTACGAGCTCGGTGTCTCGTACTGTCCTGATACGGAAGACGGATCCGTATCGTGGGCGATTGAATCTAAGCCGCCTGCCAAGCGTGGCATGGACGATGCTTTGCGTCGCAGCATCTTTGGTTCATCTGACTCATCAGATGAACCATCGCCGAAGCGAAGGCGCTCGAGGTCGCGAGACTCGGGTGCTAATAGTGGTGTCGGTTCTCCTATGGACACCACTTCACAGCGAGGTGCCAGTACTTCTGTCGGCACGTCGCAGGAAGAGCGGGACCGCAATGTCTTGCGTCTAGCTCCCGAGAAGAAGGCATGGATGCCTCCAAAATCCGTCATGGATCACTTGTCGGCGACGACGAGTGATCGTTATCGAACACGATTGTTCGATTCGTCAAGGATCCATCACCTTGACCCCAGTGCGAAAAACTATCGCGCTGAACATGAATTCTTCATCGATGCTTTCTTCAAACATCGATGGTACAGTGGGAATCACAAACGTGATGGTCCCTCACTGCTTCAAGCGTGGAACGCCTACATTCATAACCTCGAGGATGTAGGTCGTGACGCTTGGAACGACAAACTTATCAAAGCTCGTGATAAGTTTGAAAAGCGAACCCCGACAGGTGCACGCTACAAGCTGCATCGTCTGTCAAGGGAGGAAGGATTACCCTGCCTCTCTTGGGGAGACTCGTGTCCATGTTGTGTGAACAACTCTGCACGAGCACCTAAGGAGGCTTACCTCCTTACTAGCCCGTGGTGGCGCGTACGTATCTCTACTGAGATGTATGAAGGGATTGACAACCTGAAATCCCTTTACGACCGTGCCGGGAAGACTTTCTCCGGCGGTCCTTCTGCAACACAGGATGTGCCGCGTCGTACTGCTCAACCAGACCCAGTACGTCGATCATCAGTTGGGAGCGGGGCTCCCAGGAATCCCAGGACGGGGGATAGCCGCGCCACCGGACGAGATAACTCATCCGACGTCCGTTCACGTCGCGGTGGTTCAACAGCTGCTCAACTAGATAGCGCTGGCCACCGCGAGAGTTCTCTAATGGAGGTGGAGGAGGAGGAAAGACGCTCTCCACACGATCATGTGGATTGGTGTGTTCCCGAGAGCTTCTTTGATCGCGTAACGCAAGGGTTACGCGACGATCTCGAACATGAGCGGAATAGGCGTCTCGAAATGGCGGACACTGCCTCGAAGCATCGAGCTGAGTTTGCCTTTGCTCAGCTCGAGAACGAGAGATCTCTGACATCTCTTCGTGACGAGCTAAGGGTAGCTCGTGGGATTGTTGATCGGTCTCGGGATGAGATAGCTGCTCTTCAGACCCTTGTTGATGCCCACCATCGGGAGCACAAGGCTATCTGCGAGATGCTTGAGCGCAAGGGCGTTCTTCATCGGAAGAAGCAGCGTACTGATGGTACGGCTTAAGCCGACCAACGTAAAACGTGGGATGCGTTCGCATCTTACGTGGTAACTCGATCGTGTATGCATTGCCTAGCCGGTGTAATACACGAAATGGGCCGATGTACTTGGGTAGTAGTTTACTGCTACCCAAGTTAGTCACTACATGCTTTGGTAGATTAACCGTAGACAGTAGGACTAAGTCACCTTTATTAAATAAAAGAGTGTTTGCCCTTCCATTCTTGTCAGCGTTTAGCTTTTGCTTATCCACCGCTTCGGCGATGGAGTCTTGCACAAAACGGACTACCGTTTCACGAGCCAGTATGAACTCATCTGATGACTCGTTAGCTTCAGTGCGCTGTGAGCGCACTGCAGCAACATCAACCTTTTCTTCAGTGAGGGCTTCCGCACTCTCACTGGCATCATCTTCTTCGATATCGATGTTATCGATATCGGCATCAAACGCAATGACTTCTTCGTCAGAGCGTGATGAGCGTGAACCAATTCGGTTTTTGCTCGCGCGAGTTCCTCCCCCCCTTAAACCAGAGTTACACTCTAGTAAGGTGGGTACACGCGGATGGCGCAAGCCATTCACGTAAAACGGTGTATGTGTCGTGGACGCATGCACCGAGTTGTTGATGGCAAACTCTACCATTGGCAAAAACTCACTCCAACTCTTAAAGGAGTGTACGTATCCTCGAAGTATCTCTTCAAGGACACGATTGGCACGTTCCGTCTGACCATCTGACTCTGGATGATCAGATGTTGACATCTTCAAGCGCGTTCCGAGTGATTTGAACACGGAACGCCAGAAATCAGCAGTGAATCGTGGATCTCTGTCTGATACGAGTTCACGGGGCAACCCATGAAGTCGGAAGATGGTGTCAATAAAGACACAAGCACAGCCACTTGCCGTGATTGTCTCGGGTACAGCCACAAGGTGTACCATTTTGCTGAATCTGTCAACAAATACGAGAATACCCGTATTCCCGCGTGCGTCTTTGGGTAACCCGAAGACGAAATCCATTGAGATGGATTCCCAGCACTCAGCCGGAACCGGTAGAGGCTGTAAAGGTGCACGCAGTGAAGGACTTGACTTCACTCGTTGACAGACTTCGCATGCGCGAACATACTTTCGCACAAACTGATACTGGCGGGGCCAGTAAAAGTCTCGACTCACCGTGATATATGTTTTCTCTCGGCCACGATGTCCTCCTATAGGAGCATCGTGATACTCGAACATGATCCGCAAACGCAGATCAGTATCATCTGGAATGACAACACGTGGTGTGTCACCAGAAACGGCCGTATAATACAGTAAACCGTTACGAGTAGTGTATCGATCTGATGCAGATCGATACGCAGGCGACAATCGTTTCAACGATTCTCGAGATGGTTGGGAGAGATGTGTCAACAACTTCACAATCTCACCATCTTGGGCGTATGCCCGCCTCACATCATCATACAACGATGTAGATGGGACTGAGGACGTCATAACCGCAACAGTGACTGTCTCACTGTTGGGTTTCGCGACTGGTTCAAAGTCGGGACGACGTGAGAGTGCATCAGCGACGACATTAAGTCGTCCTGGTTTGTACTCGACCGTAAAGTTGTATTCCGCAAAGAATGACAACCACCGCGCCATTCGTTGTGAAAGGTGCGGGCTGTTCACTGCCGTGCGTAATGACGCATGGTCAGTGTAAACAATGAAGGGTCTATCTCCTAACAGATAGACTCTGAACTTCGCGAGTGCATACTTCATGGCAAGGAGTTCCTTGTCATGCACTGGATAGTTCCGCTCAGCTGGTTGCAGCTGACGCGACTGATAGCAGACGACGCGTTCAACGCCTTCTAGGTCGTACTGCATTAATGCACAGCCGATTGCGAAATCGCTGGCATCACAGACCACATGAAATGGCCTGTCCTGATCGGCTATTGCTAGGACTGGGGATTGTATCAAGCTCTGCTTGATACCCTCAAAGGAGCGCTGACATTCAGCGTTCCATAACCACCCCTCGTTCTTTTCAACAAACGAGAGAGGTGCACAGTCATCTCGGCGTAATTGCGTGAATACTTATGCAAATACGCCGCTAGCCCAAGGAATTTTCGAAGACCTTTGACATCAACCGGCACAGGCCAGTCGGTGATCGCCTTGATATTTTCGGGATCAGGACGTACACCGTTCTTACCAACGATGCACCCAAGAAGTGGTATTTCGCTTGCTGCAAATATACACTTCTTGAGGTTTGCATACAATTGATGCTTTCGCATGATTGTAAGAACCTGTCGGACGTGGTACCTGTGAACCTCAACATCCGACTTTCCATCCATAGCTCGACTATGGATGAATACGTCATCGAAATAACTCGGCGCGAATTCTCGTAGTGGTCTCAACAGATGTGATACACATCTATTGAATGTGGCAGGGGCATTACTAAGCCCTTGTGGCATTACTAGCCATTCCCAGAGCATGCCGCTAGGCGTGCTAACTGCGGTATAGGGTATATCCCGTTCTCGCATAAGGATTTGATAGAAGCCATCCATCAAATCCATGGACGAAAAGATGGTACTCTTTGACATACCATCAATGATTACGTCCTTCCTCGGTATCGGCGTCTGAGGCCGGTACCGTTGCAGCGTTCAATTTGTTGAACGCGTGCACTATCCGCCACCCTCCTGTTGCTTTTCGCACACAGAAGGTCGGAGAGCTATGTGGGGAAGTTGATTCCCTCACATGGCCCGCAGCTAAGCGATCGGCAAATAACTTGTCGATCGCAAGTACTTGTTCACGAGGCAGTGGCCACTGCTTCATGACACAGTACTTCGAGCCTGGTTTAAGCTCGACCTCGTGTCGAATACCTTTATCCTTCGGTAATTCGCACGGAACAGTTTCAGGGAATACATCCTTGAATTCAACCAAATCTTCATAGAGAGGATTTGTCTTGAGCGATTCCCACGATTGGGAGTCATATCGCTCAATTCGTGTCTTTTCATCTAGGACACTCTCGTCCATAGATGAACTACTGAGAACTCTCTCGTTCTCAGTAAACACTGTTGCTGACCTTATGTCGGTTACACACTCGTCGTCAGCGACGAGTACGCAGATCTGCTTGACTTTGCCACTACGCAGATCACGCAAGAACCTTTTATGTTCGAGCGTTGGCAACTGAGTGATCTCCGAAGTCAACTTCGGAGGCGCAATCAGATCAAGTGTATAAGCGCCTGCACTTGATCCGTTATTGACTATGACATTCAATGTCTCTGTCATTTCCTGGGGACTTGTTCCCTCAGGCTTTGAAGGACTTATTCCTTCGTCTTCCCGGGGACTTATTCCCGCGGGTTTCGGGGAACTTATTTCCGCCGTATTTGTAATCTTGGGACTTATTCCCTTTACTTCCACTAGCTGGGGTTGCGCAACCACAGCGAGATCCTCTACGAAAGACTCTCCAGTCGATCTAGGATTGTAGTTTCGCTTAACCTGAGCGATCGATTGTTTCTCTTCTAGATGTTCCCCGCTAGGGATACATCTTTTCCCCAGTCCACCCGACTTATTCGAGTGGTGGACCTTCGGCGCAGCCTGTGTTTCCTCAAAGCCGCCGGAACTTTGCTCCGAAGTGTAACCGTTTGGTACACTAAGGTTTTGTGCAGTCGTACTAACGACCGTACCACAAGTGAGGCCATCGCACTCACTCGTAGTACATCCACACGCTTGTGGACGCTCCAAAACGTTCATCAGATGGCCATCTGATGAACAAGCGGCGGGCATCGTTACTGTCCGATGTTGCCAGTTTACCCGTGGTTCGTACCTTCTGAGCCACGGTATTCCAAGGATGACATCAAATTTGTCATCCAAATCCAATACGATAAAGTCATCGTCATATTGGGTATCTTCTAGCGTATAGTGGATCTTCACTATACGCTTCATGACTGGTTACGGATGCGCCTGTCGCAAGACGTACCGTCATCCTCGTAGGAGGTGTGTCACATTCACTGAACTTGAAGTGACCATCTTCTAGCGATTGGCGTCGCACAAAATTGTTGGACGCCCCACAATCGACTAGAGCTCGAAGGGACAACTTATTCGTCACTTCTAGTTTCAAGGTAATGAGTGAGATCTCATTTTTAGAGCAGCAACACACAACGTTTGTGTGTTGGGAGCAACCTTCATCAAGAGGCCTACAAATTCTCTTGACGTTGCTAGACCAGTAGGGTGCTCCGCACCTACTTATCCTGTCCGTTTTTTGACGGTCCATCCCGTTGTTGCGTCTTTGCACCAACAGCGGACCCGCTTACCTGCCCCTTTCTCATGGGTGGACGGTCACTACGCCCAGTGTTGCAAGACACTGGACGAGGGGCACAACACTCGTAAGCGTAGTGTCCTGTCTTTTGACATCTATTGCATCTCTGCAACCTCTTGTAGTCTGTAGAGGGAGCCTTCTCGCTCTCTACATAACAGAGTTCCATCGGCTCTGGACCTCCGTTGTCATATCGTCTCGGTTGACGATATGATGTCGAGCTGGCGCGAGCCTGTCTCAGACTGAAGTCTTCCTGCTCCGCAATGGAAATGGCTTGTTCTAGTGAATCTAGTTCAAGCCGGAACAGGTGAGTCTTGACGGGACCATCCGCAAGACCCTGCATGAACACCGAAACCAACGTGTGTTCATCCACCGGATTGGAACTTATACAACTCGTGAGATGTCGTATATGTTGGGCGTAAGCGTGCACATCACGCTTACCCTGTTTGAGCTTCAAGAGTTCGGTTCGAGCCCTGAACTCAGCTCTAGGCGGTTCAAACGTTTGTCTGAGCCGCGACTTGAAGACTTCCAACGACCCAAACGCATATGGGTCGTGCAACTTGAGCTCCAAAGCCCAAGTCTTGGCACGTCCTGCCAGATTTGACTGGGCAAATGCAACTTGCATATCCCCATCGTCGATGCGACGCGCCCTTATGGCGTCGTCCAATTCGACAAACCATCTCAGGAGGGAATCCTCTTCGACTCCCCTATACTTGGAGATGTCGATCTTCAAGGTTTCGGGTCGACGCGAGTGCATCGAACTACCAGCAGCAGCCTGCTGCTGTCTCAACAGTTCAAACTGTTGAGCACCCTGTTCTCTCAACAACTCTGCTTGTTGAGAACCTTGTTGGTGAAGCAAGGCTACTTTCTCGCGTTCTGCGTCAAGTTCATTTTGAATGAACTTGGCGATAGTAGCATGTTGGGCATCTCTATTGAGAGCCTCTAGCATGACGCTAACAGCATGGATGCCCATGGTCGAACCCATTCGTTCAACCGCATCCCATTCGACATCGCTCAAATGGGAGTAGCCGTCACGCGTAGCGTGAAAGCTTTGGTCATCTTCATCATCGAACATATTCATGTTGGATGTGAACGCGGTCCTTGGACGGACTACGAAGTGCTACCAGGTGTAACGGGGCACCCTGAAGCTTGTACTGGTGACAGTACAAGCTACTTATTCTGATGACAGAATAAGGCGGTGCCTCGTAACTTCACGTACACTCGTACGTGCAGAGGAAGACGGTAAGAAGAAGCGAGTACTTGGTTAAAGTAAAAAGTAGAACTCTATTTAGTATAGTTAATGTCTGCAATAAATCACTATTTATCTTCATCTAACTATGTCTAAATACAAATGTGTAAATCAACTATCTGCTCACCACTCATTGCGTGCGTCTGTCGTGGCGAGTCTTCGTTGGTTGATATAATGGCCTATATCAACCAGTTAGGAACTACTCGTAAGTGCTACAGAAAATTTGTCCTTATGACAATATTCTGAGAATATAACTCTTATAGTTATATTCTATTAACAATTTCTTATAAATTGTTATGTAACGATTCACCCCGTTACATTGCTGCTGTAGCAAGGCTATCTTCCGTCTTTCGACGGCAAGTTCTTCTGCAGGAAATTGTTGATAGCGGCTTGTCGCTGGTCTCCGCTTAGAGAATCCAACATGCCACTGATGGCGAGTTCGCCCGTGAGCACACTCATGCGGCCGACTACCTCCGATTCTGATTCACTCAGATGGGAGTAGCCTTCACGTGTGACGTGAAAGCTGTCATGTTCTACGTCTAACATGTTCATGTTGGACGGATACTAGGTAGTCGTTGGACGGACTACAAAGTGCTACCAGGTGTCACGGGGCACCCTTTGTTTGGGGTGCCACGAAACTTCACGTACACTAGTACGTGCAGAGGAAGCTAATCTACTTGAACGACTCGTTTAAGTAAGGGTAAAAAGAGAAATGTATTTAATTCTAGTTAAGCTATCAATCTAACTTTAATCTTGATCTAACTTTTTCAAACTACGTCGTCGTATGACGACAACCTGCTCACCGCTCATTGCGCGCGTCTAGCAGCGATAGGTGGCAATGTATGGTTGATACGTCTTTTATCAATCAATCTTTGAGCGACGCATGAATTTATTATAAAGGGAGATAATATTCCTTCAGTATTATCTATCTCGGATGATATTAGTAGAATATTGTCATGCTAGACAATATTCCTAGTGACACCGTTTGGTGTCAATATTATGTAACGGGCTACCCCGTTACACGGTCCGGTTGCCAAAGTTGTAATCGCTTCCCCAAGCGACTTAAACTTGATGCGGAACAGGGGCTTCCTCATGGGACCATCTGCAAGGGCATGTAAGAATGTCTTGATCAACACGAATTCAGTTACAGGGTTCGTCACCATGTAACTTGCAAGGTAGCGAACTAAGTGTAAGCATGAAAATCACGCGTGTCTTGATTTATATTTAGGAGCTGTGAAAGAGTCCTGAACCGATCGGTTTTTGGCGATTTAAACGTTTGGCTGAGCAGATTCCTAAAGACCGCTAACGATCCAAGCACGTTTAGACTGCGTAATTGAAGATTCAGGGCCCAAGTTTTGGCACACCCTGACATTTTTGATTTAGCAAATGCAGCTTGCATTTCCTCATCGTCGATGTGGTGAGCCTTAATGACATCGTCCACTTGGAGAAACCATCTCAATGGGAGTCTTCTTCGACTCCCTGGTACTTGGAGACTTTTATTTTTTTGCGTCTCGCATTGACGCTCACGTGTCTACACTGCAGAAGCTGGCTGAGACGTTGGCTGTCTTAGGAGCTCAGTCTGCTTGTAACGGGGTGAACCGTTACATAACAATTTATAAGAAATTGTTAATAGAATATAACTATAAGAGTTATATTCTCAGAATATTGTCATAAGGACAAATTTTCTGTAGCACTTACGAGTAGTTCCTAACTGGTTGATATAGGCCATTATATCAACCAACGAAGACTCGCCACGACAGACGCACGCAATGAGTGGTGAGCAGATAGTTGATTTACACATTTGTATTTAGACATAGTTAGATGAAGATAAATAGTGATTTATTGCAGACATTAACTATACTAAATAGAGTTCTACTTTTTACTTTAACCAAGTACTCGCTTCTTCTTACCGTCTTCCTCTGCACGTACGAGTGTACGTGAAGTTACGAGGCACCGCCTTATTCTGTCATCAGAATAAGTAGCTTGTACTGTCACCAGTACAAGCTTCAGGGTGCCCCGTTACACCTGGTAGCACTTCGTAGTCCGTCCAAGGACCGCGTTCACATCCAACATGAATATGTTCGATGATGAAGATGACCAAAGCTTTCACGCTACGCGTGACGGCTACTCCCATTTGAGCGATGTCGAATGGGATGCGGTTGAACGAATGGGTTCGACCATGGGCATCCATGCTGTTAGCGTCATGCTAGAGGCTCTCAATAGAGATGCCCAACATGCTACTATCGCCAAGTTCATTCAAAATGAACTTGACGCAGAACGCGAGAAAGTAGCCTTGCTTCACCAACAAGGTTCTCAACAAGCAGAGTTGTTGAGAGAACAGGGTGCTCAACAGTTTGAACTGTTGAGACAGCAGCAGGCTGCTGCTGGTAGTTCGATGCACTCGCGTCGACCCGAAACCTTGAAGATCGACATCTCCAAGTATAGGGGAGTCGAAGAGGATTCCCTCCTGAGATGGTTTGTCGAATTGGACGACGCCATAAGGGCGCGTCGCATCGACGATGGGGATATGCAAGTTGCATTTGCCCAGTCAAATCTGGCAGGACGTGCCAAGACTTGGGCTTTGGAGCTCAAGTTGCACGACCCATATGCGTTTGGGTCGTTGGAAGTCTTCAAGTCGCGGCTCAGACAAACGTTTGAACCGCCTAGAGCTGAGTTCAGGGCTCGAACCGAACTCTTGAAGCTCAAACAGGGTAAGCGTGATGTGCACGCTTACGCCCAACATATACGACATCTCACGAGTTGTATAAGTTCCAATCCGGTGGATGAACACACGTTGGTTTCGGTGTTCATGCAGGGTCTTGCGGATGGTCCCGTCAAGACTCACCTGTTCCGGCTTGAACTAGATTCACTAGAACAAGCCATTTCCATTGCGGAGCAGGAAGACTTCAGTCTGAGACAGGCTCGCGCCAGCTCGACATCATATCGTCAACCGAGACGATATGACAACGGAGGTCCAGAGCCGATGGAACTCTGTTATGTAGAGAGCGAGAAGGCTCCCTCTACAGACTACAAGAGGTTGCAGAGATGCAATAGATGTCAAAAGACAGGACACTACGCTTACGAGTGTTGTGCCCCTCGTCCAGTGTCTTGCAACACTGGGCGTAGTGACCGTCCACCCATGAGAAAGGGGCAGGTAAGCGGGTCCGCTGTTGGTGCAAAGACGCAACAACGGGATGGACCGTCAAAAAACGGACAGGATAAGTAGGTGCGGAGCACCCTACTGGTCTAGCAACGTCAAGAGAATTTGTAGGCCTCTTGATGAAGGTTGCTCCCAACACACAAACGTTGTGTGTTGCTGCTCTAAAAATGAGATCTCACTCATTACCTTGAAACTCGAAGTGACGAATAAGTTGTCCCTTCGAGCTCTAGTCGATTGTGGGGCGTCCAACAATTTTGTGCGACGCCAATCGCTAGAAGATGGTCACTTCAAGTTCAGTGAATGTGACACACCTCCTACGAGGATGACGGTACGTCTTGCGACAGGCGCATCCGTAACCGTCATGAAGCGTATAGTGAAGATCCACTATACGCTAGAAGATACCCAATATGACGATGACTTTATCGTATTGGATTTGGATGACAAATTTGATGTCATCCTTGGAATACCGTGGCTCAGAAGGTACGAACCACGGGTAAACTGGCAACATCGGACAGTAACGATGCCCGCCGCTTGTTCATCAGATGGCCATCTGATGAACGTTTTGGAGCGTCCACAAGCGTGTGGATGTACTACGAGTGAGTGCGATGGCCTCACTTGTGGTACGGTCGTTAGTACGACTGCACAAAACCTTAGTGTACCAAACGGTTACACTTCGGAGCAAAGTTCCGGCGGCTTTGAGGAAACACAGGCTGCGCCGAAGGTCCACCACTCGAATAAGTCGGGTGGACTGGGGAAAAAGATGTATCCCTAGCGGGGAACATCTAGAAGAGAAACAATCGATCGCTCAGGTTAAGCGAAACTACAATCCTAGATCGACTGGAGAGTCTTTCGTAGAGGATCTCGCTGTGGTTGCGCAACCCCAGCTAGTGGAAGTAAAGGGAATAAGTCCCAAGATTACAAATACGGCGGAAATAAGTTCCCCGAAACCCGCGGGAATAAGTCCCCGGGAAGACGAAGGAATAAGTCCTTCAAAGCCTGAGGGAACAAGTCCCCAGGAAATGACAGAGACATTGAATGTCATAGTCAATAACGGATCAAGTGCAGGCGCTTATACACTTGATCTGATTGCGCCTCCGAAGTTGACTTCGGAGATCACTCAGTTGCCAACGCTCGAACATAAAAGGTTCTTGCGTGATCTGCGTAGTGGCAAAGTCAAGCAGATCTGCGTACTCGTCGCTGACGACGAGTGTGTAACCGACATAAGGTCAGCAACAGTGTTTACTGAGAACGAGATAGTTCTCAGTAGTTCATCTATGGACGAGAGTGTCCTAGATGAAAAGACACGAATTGAGCGATATGACTCCCAATCGTGGGAATCGCTCAAGACAAATCCTCTCTATGAAGATTTGGTTGAATTCAAGGATGTATTCCCTGAAACTGTTCCGTGCGAATTACCGAAGGATAAAGGTATTCGACACGAGGTCGAGCTTAAACCAGGCTCGAAGTACTGTGTCATGAAGCAGTGGCCACTGCCTCGTGAACAAGTACTTGCGATCGACAATTTATTTGCCGATCGTTTAGCTGCGGGCCATGTGAGGGAATCAACTTCCCCACATAGCTCTCCGACCTTCTGTGTGCGAAAAGCAACAGGAGGGTGGCGGATAGTGCACGCGTTCAACAAATTGAACGCTGCAACGGTACCGGCTCAGACGCCGATACCGAGGAAGGACGTCATCATTGATGGTATGTCAAAGAGTACCATCTTTTCGTCCATGGATTTGATGGATGGCTTCTATCAAATCCTTATGCGAGAACGGGATATACCCTATACCGCAGTTAGCACGCCTAGCGGCATGCTCTGGGAATGGCTAGTAATGCCACAAGGGCTTAGTAATGCCCCTGCCACATTCAACAGATGTGTATCACATCTGTTGAGACCACTACGAGAATTCGCGCCGAGTTATTTCGATGACGTATTCATCCATAGTCGAGCTATGGATGGAAAGTCGGATGTTGAGGTTCACAGGTACCACGTCCGACAGGTTCTTACAATCATGCGAAAGCATCAATTGTATGCAAACCTCAAGAAGTGTATATTCGCAGCAAGCGAAATACCACTTCTTGGGTGCATCGTTGGTAAGAACGGTTTACGTCCTGATCCCGAAAATATCAAGGCGATCACCGACTGGCCTGTGCCGGTTGATGTCAAAGGTCTTCGAAAATTCCTTGGGCTAGCGGCGTATTTGCATAAGTATTTACGCAATTACGCCGAGATGACTGTGCACCTCTCTCGTTTGTTGAAAAAGAACGAGGGGTGGTTATGGAACGCTGAATGTCAGCGCTCCTTTGAGGGTATCAAGCAGAGCTTGATACAATCCCCAGTCCTAGCAATAGCCGATCAGGACAGGCCATTTCATGTGGTCTGTGATGC